GCTCTGTTTCCCCCCTCCTCTCCCGGCCCCCTGCCAGCCACAGCCTGTCCCAGGGGCTGCGGGACCGTGCCCAGATACTGATGAGGTGGGTGCATGGGGGTGGCCAACATCCCTGGGAGGCTGCCCTGCACCCAGCTGTGCTGGGGCTTGGGGTGTCCCAGCCTCTCACAGTGCCTCTTCTCGACAGGGAGAAGCTGCTGGACTGGCGGGACTTTCTGCTGGTGAAGAGCAGGCGCAATATCACCATGGTGTCATACCCGTCCCTGCGGCTGGGAGCCCAGCCCGGCGAGGAGGGTGAGCCCAGCCCGGCGAGGAGGGCTCTCCAAGGGGGTAGCAGAGGTGGGAGTGGGACCCTGTCCCCCCAGGACTGGGCTCAAAGGGAGGAGTGTGGTGGGAAGAGGCAGTTTTCTCAAGGCTCAGGGGCTGTCCTGGAGGGGCACCAAAGTTGTTGGACACCCTTAACCCACCCCACATACCTGGAGGACTTTCCTGGCCTGGTGCACTTCATCTATGCGGACCGCACGGCTGGGCAGATGATGGCACCGTCGCTCAGCATGACAGAGAAGTCCAGCTCCGAGCTGGGCAAGGGCCCCCTGGCCGCCTTCATCAAGAGGAAGGTACTGCTCATGGGGCCAGGGGTGGGATAGGGACCACAGGAGGGGGTGATGGTTGGAAAGTTTTCTGCTTGTCCCCCAGGTCTGGTCACTGATCACGTTGGCCCGGCGTTACCTACAGAAGGGCTACACAACACTCATGCTGCAGGATGGTGACTACTGCTGCTCCTACTTCCTCTGGTTTGAGAATGAGCTGGTACGTGGGGCCAGGAAGGGGCTGAGCCCCTCTCCCCTGGCACCTTCTGGGGAGAGGGAACAGGACTGCAGGCACAACTGGCTCCAGCTCCTCGGCGGCCCCTTCCCTGCTCCTACTCTCTGCTGTCATCTCTCCCCAGGGCTACAAGCTGGAAGTGATGGACGTGCCAGTTCTCTCCGATGACTCTGCTCCCATTGGGATGCTGGCAGGAGACTACTACAGGTGAGCAGTCCCTAGCCCTGCAGTTTGCAAGCAGGGCCCCGGGACTGTGCTGACACGGGGGTCCCCATGAGTGATGCTGTCCTCCCTGGGACATCACTGCAGGGTGGTACCATGCTGCAGTGTCACTGGGGTTACAACAGCCTGTCTTCCCAGCCTGGTGCCATGGTCCTGCCAATGGACAGGCACTGTGTCCTTGCCAGGGACTTGCTAGGGGGAGGGTAGTTGGAAAGGGGGTGCCAGGCTGCGATTCACTTGCCAAGCCCCCCATCTTCTCCTCCTCAGGAAACTGCTGCGTTACTACAGCAAGAACCAGCAGGCAGAGGTGGTGAAGTGCTACGAGCTGCTGACTGTGCACCTGGGCATCATCCCCTCCGAGCTCGTGGTCCAGCAGGCCTGTGACTTGGCCCGGCGCCTCTGGGAGCCCTCCCGCATCCCCCTGCTCTGAGCTCCCTCCAGCCACCTTAGGGCCAGGATTAAAGTGGGTGTGGGGGTGCTCCCAGCACCTGGGCTGCTTTCTTGGTGTCTGTGTGCCATCAGCTGTGCTCTGGAAGCAGCCACGGGCAGCTTCCCGTCCTCCAGCCCAGCTGGGGCTGATGCTGCCCGCATCCCTGCATCCCTGCTCCCCATTGCTGGCACCCGGCAGCCTCCAAAAAGAGACGGAGAGTGGGGCTGAGAGGTTGTTGGCAAATCACCATCTTGCTGAAAATTGTGTTTCCAAAGCAGGATTTATAGCATTGGTTTGGCATCACCACCAGGCTTTGGCTGGCAAAAAAGCATTGCAGCCAAACATACATGGAAGAATGGCCCAGGGTGCGTCCCCCTTCTTCCCCCTCACCCCCAAGTGTGGGGTGCAGGGTCCTTGGGGGATTTGGCGGGCTCTGGGGAGTTGCAGCCTGTCCTCTACCCACTTCCCTGTACCTGGGCTCCAAGACACCAGTCAGCCACAGGGCCAAGCTGGTCTGTGGACAAGGGGTAAAGCCAAGGCAGCTAATGTGTTTCCCAGGAGTGTTTGGGCTCAGGGCACATGCAAATCCCTGGGCACGGCTGGGGATGGGGCCAGCCCTGAGG